TTTTTGCAAAAATTACTAATTTATATAAAATGATAAATGAGTGCATACAGAAATGAAATCAGTCCAATATTTTAAAAATTAAAAAACAAAATATCATATATATGTGTGTGTGTGTGTGTGTGTGTGTGTGTGTGTGTGTGTATGTGTGTGTATAGATTATGATTTGGGGCTATAAACCAAAAATAAAATTGCAAGGCCCTCCTCTGCCATCTGAATGGACTCCTCTCAGTCAGCGGCATTCCAAACCAGTTCAGGCCACGATGGGAAGAGAGAGCCATACTCATGTCATTCTACTCTCTTCCCTTTTGGAGTCACTGATAGAACACACTCTTTACGTCTGATAGGAAACATTTACAATTTATTCTCTCTGAGGCCAGGTACCTGGAGACTTCATTTGCATGATAAAACCCTGGACTGGACAACCCCTCACTCACTGATATATCCCTCCTCTGTCTGCTTTTAAACTAGTGTGGGTTTGTTTTCTTTCATTTTCTGATCTTTTTCTATTCTCTCTTGCAAGTAGCTAATTATTCCTGTAATGACTTTTATAAAATATGTTCAATTTGGTTTTTTAAAAATTTATTGAGTTCATCTTACACTTAAGGAACTAGGGACACAAAGATAAACAAGGCATGTCTTTGCTCATAAGCAGCTCAGAGAGCAGGCAGAGGACACAGCTGCTGTGGTAAATGAAATAAAGGCCCCAAAGATGTCTGCTCCCGAATCCCCCCTGTATATATGCTACCCTACATGGCAAAAGGGACTCCGTAGATGTAATTAAACTTAAGGACTTTGAGGTGGCAAGATTATTCTGGATTATTCAGGTGGGCCCAGTCTAATCACATGAGTCCTTAAAAGCAGATCATCTTGCCCAGCTTTACTCAGAAAACCAGAAGGATGGCAGAAGGTGAAGGACCCAACCTGCCATTGTTGGCTTTAAAAACAGAGGAACTATGAGCCAAGGAATGTGAGTGGCCTTTAGTTGATGGAAAAGGCAAGGAAATGAATTCTCCCTCAGATCCTCCAGAAGAAACACAGCCCTATGGACGCCTTGATGTTAGCCCAGTGAGACCTGCATCACACTTTTGACGTACAGAATTACAACATAACACACTGTTATTGTTTAAGCCACCAAATCTGTAGTAATTTGTTATAGCAACAAAAATAAGTTAATGCAGATGTGCCTCAACTAAAAGCAAAGTAGCTCAGCCTGACATCAGTGCACAGAATGGAGCCATAAGCCAAGTGCTTGGGTCCTCAGTGTTGGGAGTGAGTGGACCATGTAAGGGAAAGGAAAAAAATCTCAGGACCTCCCCAAAATCTTATGCCAAAGGAAAGGTTAAGCCTGGGGGCTGAGTCATTGCACTACTCTCTTCCAAATGAATAGCTGTTACTAACATTGTGCATCAGCCAGATCCCCATGGAAAGGTAAAAGGTGTTAGGCATCTGGAAAGGACTGCCCCCGACAGATCAGTCATAGGTAAATTCTTTCCTGGCCTCTCACAAACAAGGACATGCCAATTGTAGCTATAGTTCTACAATCCAAGTTTAGTTCCTAAAACTAAAGTCTGTTCAATTCCACACTGATAATGTTGATTACAAGTTCATCTTCCCAGGTTCAGAATGAAGACAAGAGATCAATCTTTCCTCTACCTGACCAGAGACATCTCCGTGATTGGCTCTTGCTTTACTCCCTTTTTCTGTTTAGACCTTCACCTTGTCTTGTGTAAAATGTAGATTTACTAGGCACTAATGAAAGACACACGAGAATATAACTATTTGCCTTACTGCCTAGCTGCCCCTCTTTCTACATGCCTTCCCCACTTTACAGATATGTATAAATACTAAACCTTCTGAAAGCCTCTTTGGATGGGTGATTTTCCTGGATTTGCTCTAAAGCTGGCTTAAGAAACCTCGATCATTGAGACCTGTGTCTCAAATACTTATATTGGTTGCTCCTCAATTGATAGAGATGAGAAGGTACTGCAAAGGAAGAGGCCTTCAGGTTGTCCTTGCAGTACTGATGTGGTCAGTCAGGGAAGGAGGAGAAGGACATTGCAGACAAAGAGACAAGCACCAAAGTCAACATTACAACATGTTTGCATATCAGTTTTCTATGTGGGCAAAGTTGTAAAAAGCTTGAACAAGAAATGTAAGTACTTTTGCTCCTGTCAAAATAGCAGCCTAGATATTCTAAAGGGTCCTTCTACTTTCCAACAACAATATGGTGACTGACACCTACTTTCTAATGCAATGTGGGCTTCCAGAAAATACTCATAGCTCTCTATCCCACGACAAAAAATACCATTATAGTGAACCCGAGGTTTCTCTTCAAAGAATCAGTATGTCAGTCAGTATGTTCAGCTCTCTTATTCTGTAATTCTCTATTTCAAAGTTTAATACTTTGTAATTCTAGTAAACAATCTTCTCCTCTGGTTCTAATCAGTACTTCACATTTACCTCCCCCCAACCCCAGCTCCCACCACCGTCCCATCCTGACTCATCCCCCTGGCTACCTGATCTACCTGCTCTGACACACCCATCACCGTCCATCCCACCAAAATACCCACCCCGCCACTCCAGCCCAGACCCCTACTCTTTTTTTTTTTTTTTTTTAAATAGCGAATCAGAATTAGTCTAGCTTGTGCAGTCTAACCCTAGCCAATAGGGGATGACGCAGCAATAGGGACGACTTCCATCAGGCATAAGTGCCCCTTCCCACCTTGTCCAAGCTGTGGTGACCATCATTGCTCTGTCCTTGCACCCTGCACCCTTCTATAGAAGTAAATTGCCTTGCTGAGAGGACATATCTTAGAGTGCTATTTCTTTTGTAGCATCAAAATTTTACTTATAACAATATAGGAAAGTCTATTTCTATATCTCATACCCATTTTCATGCTAAGGACAACTAAAGAAGATAAAGCAAAAAAACTTTTTTTTTTCAGAGATGGGGTCTTGGTCTCACTCTGACTGCAGCCTTGACATCCTGGACTCAAATGATCTTCCCACCTCAGCCTCCCAAGTAGCTGGGACTACACCTACTCACCATGATGCCTAGCTAATTTTTAAAATTTTGTGTAGAGATACAGTTTTGCCATGTTCCAGGCTGGTCTGAAACTTCTGGCATCAAGTGATCCGCCTGCCTCGGCTTCCCAAAGTGCCGGGATTACAGGCGTGAGCCACCGCGCCCGGCCCCCCAAAAAATTTTTAAGCACCTAGAAATCACTGATGTTACTAGAAAAGGGGTCTCAACCCAGATCCCCAAGAGCAGGTTCATAGATGGCATGCCATAAAGAATTCAGGGCAAGTATCAAAGCATAGTGAAATTAAGATAGTTTATTGGGCACTACTTCTATTACAGAGTAGGGTGTCCTCAAAAAGCAAGAGGAGGAACGCCCCTACCTAAAACATAATATTTGCTTATATAGGGTGTTAGAGCTAAAAATAATGTGCTTTATTATAAAAGCTCGTGATCAGCTTGTGACAGGCTATTAGCATTATTCTCTTCTGCAACTATTGATTTCAGCAAGAATCTGTGAGTATATTATTATTTTTAAGGTGAAACTCTTAAACTAAGGATGCTTTTTCTTTATTGGGACACTTCCATAAGTTCTGAGTCTTACTTAATTAGTTAGCACCATTAACTTCTTTCCTTAGCCATAAACATCTTGTGACCAAGAGTACCTAACTTCCTGGGAATGTAACCCAGCAGGTTTGGCTTTATGCAGTCTTTATTCAAGGTGGAGTTACTCTGGTTTGGGTGCCTCTGACACCAAAGAGCTTAAGGGCTCCTAAGAAGTTACCTGGCACAAAGATGATTATCTAGTGAGGTGGAGCCAGCACTCAGAGTCATTTTTTTTTCCCCTAGGGAAGTATCTCACTTGAGAAAAATGGCTGAGAGGCTGAGAGACTGAGTGGTATAAAGAAGAAACAAAAGTGCCAGCCACAAAAGGAAATACGGGTAAATTGGACTGCATTAAAATTGAGTTTGCTAAAACAAAAATAAACAAGTAAAAAGCTATGAAGATATTAGCAACACAAATAATTAGCAAAGAATTAGATTTCAGATATACAGGAATTTTAAAAATTCAATAAGGAAAAGACAAAAAATCTAATAAAGAAAATCTTTCCTAATTATAAGCAGGTAATTCACAGAAGGAGCAGCACAGAGGGCAAGTAAACCTGATAAGGTATCATCAGAGAAAGGTAAATAAGAACAATATACTGGCCAGATGCAATGGCTCACACCTATAATCCTAATACTTTGGGAGACTGTCATGGATCACTTGAGGCCAGAAGTTCGAGACCAGCCTGAACAACATGGCAAAACTCCATCTCAGGTGGCTGTAGCCCAAGCTACTCAGGAGGCTGAGGTGAGAGGATCACTTGAGCCTTGGAGGTGGAGGTTGCAGTGAGCTGAGAAACCAGCACTGCACTCCAGCCTGGGCAACAGAGCAAGACTCCACCTCAAAAATAAACATAAAATAAAATAAAACAAGATACCATTTTACACCTTTACTAGCAAAATAAAGAAATCTGATAACCCTAAGCGTTGATGAGAATATCAAGCAATGGGAATTTTATATGCAACTGATGGAAATTTATAATAAATTGGTTCAGACACTTCAGGAATAAAATGGATATGATATACTGGTTTTGAATGTTTACATACTCTGCAACCCAGCAATCCTACTTTTGGGGACTATACCCCAGAAAAACACTGATGTATGCATGCCCAGAGACATGAATAAGAGCATTCACAGAAACAGTGTTGGAATACTGATGAAAATAAAGTAAAAGAACTTAACCGATCATAGATGAGGCAACAATTATATAAATATAGTGGTATATTCACACAAATATACAACTGTGGAAGTAAATGAAAATGTATGAATTATAATATAAATCTAGTGAGTTGCTGGTGCTGCTTGTGTGCTAGTTTGGTGCAGACCTGGTACTGCTACTGTGAAGCAGTAGCCGAGGGGACTCCGGCACTCACCATGGCCGACGAAAAGCCCAAGGAAGGAGTCAAGACTGAGAACGATGATCATATTAATTTCAAAGTGACAGGGCAGGATGGTTCTGCAGTGCAGTTTAAGATTAAGAGGCATACACCACTTAATAAACGAATGAACGACAGGGATTGTCAATGAGGGAGATCAGATCCCGATTTGACAGGCAACCAATCAATGAAACAGACATACCTGCACAGTTGGAAATGGAGGACGAAGATACAATTGATGTGTTCCAACAGCAGACGGGAGGTGTCTACTGAAAAGAGAAGCTGCTTCTTTACTTCAGAACTCTGTTCTTTAAAGACCAAGATTACATTCTCAATTAGAAAACTGCAATTTGGTTCCACCACATCCTGACTACTACAGTATAGTTTTCTCTATTCTTTCATTTTCCCCTTTCCCATTCCTTTACTGTACATAAAGTAACTGGTATATGTTCACAAGTATATTGCTTTTTTTTTGTTTTTTTTAACAGCCAATGGTATGTTTTGATTGACATCAAGTGGAGACGGGGTGGGGAAAAATACTGATTCTGTGAAAATACCTGCTTTCTCCATTAGTGGTATGCTCATTCAGCTCTTATCTTTATATTCCAGTAAGTTATTTTGCTCTCACTGTTTTAACAAAAATAAATAAATAAGTAATAAAATAAAAATCCTTGCATTCCTTGTTTGACTGGAGACTTTTAATGTTTTTCATTTATCATCGTAAAATCAAGGACAATTTTATAACTTTTTTGTACGTAGCTGTTACATGCAGGGTAATCTGTCTTTAAGTGGGGATAAATTACTCTAAAACAAAAAAAAAAGAATCCTAGTTTTCCCTTCAAGTCAAGCGTCTCGTTGTTTAAATAAACTTCTTGTTTAAAATGAAAAAAAATATATCTAATGAGGTATAGAAAATTACATATTATGATGCATATTTTCTAAAGCTCAAAAAACTAAATAATAAATTATTTAGAAATATATTTATGTATCATAAAATACATGAATTAGTTATAACATTGAATGAAAATAGTAAGTTGCAGAAGAGTAGTGTGTGACACCACAGACACCATATTTGTAAAACTCTAAAATCAGCAAGGTTAAACATTTATTGTTTAGAGACACATAGAGATACGTGGAGTTTTACATGTAAATTACCTATAAAAGTCAACAGCACATTGACATAGTAAACAAAAAGTTCAAAATGGGATATTCCTGGCATGGAACAGGGGGCTGGGATGGTGGAGGGCCACACAGGAAGCTTCAGTGTAATTTGTGATGTTTGTTTCATTCTCTAGGTGATGTGTTCACTGGTGTTCAGCTTATCATGTTTTTAAATCGATGAGTATGTTGCATATCTTCTTTTTTAGTATCAAACATTATATAACAAAATTTTAATTAACTAAGAAAAATTATATTATTTCTGCCAAGATGGCTATTCTTCCATCTCCTTCTTCCTTGAGTGCATTTTTTTTACACTGTTGAATTGAATGAAGGTAGACCCGATAGAAGGAGAAAGTGTTTTGTGAGATGAAATATGCAAGTGCTGTCTGAGCTCAGCTCAGAACTAATGGTCTTCCCAGACGGGATGTTGCAAAAGTATTATATGAAACGACAGAGCCAATTCTTTGTTACTCTCCATTACTCATGTTTCAGTTTGGTGGCTCACCTTTCAGTGTGAGTCCTGTCTTTAATACACCCTGCTCCAGAGTGGATGTCAACTTCAAGTGGTTTTTGATTGTCAAGGGCCTTCCCATTCCGCTCCCATAAAATGGAAGGGAAACCCTAGATTTACATATTTTAATGGAAGGGTGTAAAAAGCTTCTTTGTTTAAACATATATTAAACACTTTGTTACCAAACATGTTGGAAGAATACAAAGTGACAGTTTGTGAAACATTTAAGTTATTTAATTTTAATTCAGATTGATTTTTTCCTATTACCGCTTTCAGGGCAAATGAGACAAAACTGTAACTACCCTCACCATCCCCACTCCTATCCCAGCACTCCTTCATAAGCATTCCCATCATTTCTAATTTTCACACCAAAGTCCTTCCTATCACCTATCTTGCTGCTGGGGTAGGTGGGACATAAGGAGGGTGGGGAGGTGAGTGGGTAGGGGTATGGGCAGGGGCAGCGGTAGGGGTTTGAGCTGACGTAGTACATACAGCAGGAATGAAAGGAATCAGAATCACATTGCAGGCTGTGAAGTAGATAGAGCCTGTGTATTGCAGTTACACAGCTCTAAGTCTAAATCCTCAGCTCTGACACTTTTTAGGCGGGTGACAATTGACAAGTTACTAAACTTCTCAGAGTCTCAGCTTCCTTGTCTATGTAAGTGGTTAATAATACCTACATCCTAGGGCTGCAGTGAGAATTCAGTTACATTGATACGTTGAAATACTCAGTATACATTCAACTATAGTGTTGTAACTGTGTTGGGTGAATATGCAGAAATTAGGGAGTTCTAGGCTTTTGATAGAGACAGGCCAGTTTACTTGCTCATCCTTGAATGCAGGTTTCTTGACATTCCTTTTCACTGTTGAATCTGTTTCCTGAGCCATTGCAGCCACTGAACCAAAATCGGGCACAAGAGTTGACCTGTTTGTCATAATACCATCGAACCACATATTCACCACAGTTTCCAGGCTTCAAGGCTTCCAAACATCTAGGATCTAGAGTGAGAAAGGGATAATGTATTACAGATTTTTCTTATATTGAAGACATAAAAAATAAAAACCTTATAAAGTTATATAAATAAACTATTTCTTCATGCATGCTAGTGGACCAACCAAGAAAATACGGTTCTAAGTAAGTGAAAGAAGGATTTCCTAAAACCCCAAATATTTCCCTCACCACCTGAAACTCTACCACTAGATATTAATTCTTTTGAAAACATGAAAGTTTTTGGTCTTCATGAAATTGTATTAAAAATGCTTATTCCCTGAAAGCCTAAGTGAGACTTCACTGGCTAATACTTTTATGGGAATTAGTTAACAGGAGAAGGACAGGACTTCTTTCATTTACATTAGATTTGATTTATAATCAAATTAATATTTGGAATAAAAATTATTTCCATTTTCTGTTCACATTTCCTCCCAGTCTGTTCACAGAAAGAACCACCATGATCAGATGCAATTGCCCACTATGAAAGAAAAACTCAAGTTACCAAAAATAAAAAAATAAAAAAAAATAACAAAAAGTAAAATGAGGGGCTCTCTTTGTATTACAATTATCTTTTTAAACGAGCAGCTCTAAGGCCAGGTACGGTAGCTCACGCCTGTAATCCCAGCACTTTAGGAGGCCAAGGTGGGCAGATCATGAGGTCAAGAGATTGAGACCATCCAGGCCAACATAATGAAACCCTGTCTCTAATAAAAATATAAAAATTAGCTGGGTGTGGTGGTGCATGCCTGTAGTCTCAGCTACTTGGGAGACTGAGGCAGGAGAATCCCTTGAACCTGGGAGGCGGAGGCTGCAGTGAGCTGAGATTGTGCCCCTGCACTCCAGCCTGGTGACAGAGTGAGACTCCATCTCAAACAAAAAAAAAGAAAAAAAGAAAAGAAAAGAACAGTTATTGCAGTACACTAAAAACATGGTATGATTTTCTAATATCATATAGTCTTATCGTAGAAATATATCTACTATAAAAAAGCATAGGAGAGCTATAAAGCTACATTGTCCTAATAAGGTTCCTTTAATTATGGAGCTCCTCATTTGCTAAATTCCTTTTTATTGTGTGGTACTCTGGAGTGCCTTGATTAGTACTTCCTACTTGAAGAAGTGATTCCAAGGTGGGAGAAGCCAAAAAACAAACGAACAAACAAAAAACCAAATAGATAATTGCTGTCTGGGACTTACATGTCATAAGCTTTATTTGTCAATACCTAAACCAGCCCTCTCTCTATCTTCCTTAAACATTTCCCCAGATTTGGGGTATGCCTTGGTTCATTTATTTTCTAAAACTTACATCTAAATCTACCTCTATTATGAAGACTCCCTAGACCTAATGGAAATGAGCCATAGATTTCTACTGCCTCTGCCCTTAAAAACAAAACCAAATAATGTATATTGTGTAATTCATTTTCAAGCTAATCTAAACTTCCTTTGAGTACAAAAATGTCTCTCATGTTCTACAGAAAATACGTATATAATAATACACTTTAAATAGATATTAACTTCATAGAAAATATGTTAATGAATCAGAATCTAGATTTTAGCTTGTTTCTCATTCCTGTGCAATAAAAGCATCAAAAATTCAAATGCCTACATGTGTGAAGGGCACATGTAAGACAGTAGGGAGCAGTAGGGACTATGGCAAACAGGAAAACACAATCGCCTCTAAAGGCATTCAAATTAAAATAATAAATACTATAAGAGCATTGAAATTCTTTACAGACCAAATTTACTCCACTGCCAGCCAGATTTCAAATTCTACATATAGTCCAATGAAAATTATATTTTGTCCAGCTTGTTTAGAATCATAACATTTTCTCTCTGGGTAATCCTGTGCCTTCCTCACATTGTAGATACAGTGGCAGATTGGCAGATCTCTCTTACCTTTGTGCACCGAATTTTCTGGCTGTAGAATCAAAATGGGACTTGGAGTTCTGGTTTACCTACCCTCTGCCCCAACCACAGGGAAGCTAAGCAGTGGCCTGGGGGCGGTGGTGGCCTCAGATGAGGTAGTGGCAAGCACAGCATCAACCCAGCTTGGCTCTGGAGCCTTATTCTCTTCATCCTGGTCTCTGGTGACACTCAACTACACAAAAAAAATTCACACTTTGTGTTTCTGATAATATCAAGTAAAAAAAATACTAGTTTGCTTTTGGGAACATTTAAGGAAAAGTTCAGCCATGCTATGTTTCTTTAGCTGTCTGCTATTAACTATTTCAAATAAAACTCAGAAAATAATGCCCCTCCTCTGTGTCATGCATCCCTGAATATCCAAGTTGTGTACACACACACACACACACACACACACACACACACACAGAGCCCACCTCCAGGCACAGATGCTTTAGTGCTGGGACATCCAAAGCAGGTGTGAAAGATGTGAGGTTGGGAGGAGTTTATTTTCATTCTTCACTTAGCCACTGATATAAGAAAATAACCACTTATTTATTTAACATTTTTATGGCCTTTCTCCATTTCCTAACACTAGACAGCTTAACAATATATTCCAAAATATTTACCATGAACTCAATCGATTTTGAGATTGGAAATTAGGGTAGCAGTAAACAATAATACAGCTGAAATAAAAACAATACCAATCACTTCTTGATTGCTTACCCAAATCTCAGCTGCAGACACCTTTGCCTGCTCTTCCTATTATCAGACCCCAGCTAATGCCAAATGCTATAGGATGATTAACTTCTAAAATGCTCTAAGAAATGTTTGATATCTAAAGAACAAAGATTTTCATTTCAAAAGCAAATTTTCTGGACTAACACTTCC